GGCGTGTGCGAGTGAGAAATGCTGATATTCACCCGATGCAGGCCACGGCTGCCCGTCATTCCCCAGTGCCCGACCCCATCTGGTGCCTTTGGCTGAGAGGCATCGTGCATGGGAAGCTGCTCTGGTCAAAATTGGATGCTGGGAGCGTGACTTGAGGGTGGCCAGACTTTTTTGCGCGGATGCACTTGACAGAAAATGCCTGACAAGAGCACATAGCGTCTGTTCAGTCCTCGAAGCGATTACATGAAGCAAACAAGCAAAAATGTGCACATCGATGACGCTTGCTGTTGTGCGCACTCACGGCGACGCTGCTGCCCCACGGGGTCCTTCCCGAGCCCTGACGATGCGCATCAGCAGCCCGCTCCACCAGGAGGCGCGACCGACCGCACGCGGATGCCAAGGAACACGCTGGAAGACTCCTTGAGAGAGAGGCTCTGGCCTCCAGCAAATCAGGCCCGCTCCTCCCCACGGGGGCCTCCAGGGGAAATTCGACACGCCCGTGGCCACGACCCGGAGGCTCTCGGCGCCGCCCACGTGCCCCGCATCGTCGGCCTCTCGGGGGGGGGGGGGGAGGGTTATGCTGCTCCCATCGTACCTCAAGAGCCACATCCCAGAGAGAACTTCGGGCACCCAGACAAGTAGCGAAACAGTGTCGAACGAGTATCGCCTCCCAGGGCCCGACATTTGAGAACCCTCCACTTGCGGTACTTTCTTGGTGCTCGGCATTCTTTCTGGTGGTCAATGCTAAAGTAGGTCGGGACATCATCAGCGGACTGTCTGGAAGGGCAGGCCCTTCGGAGGGGGGGGCGAAGCCTGCTGCAAGGCAGGAGAGACGGGCCCGCGCCGGGGGCCGAGCCAGGGAGCGCGCCTGCAGCGAGAAAATGCGGAGGCTCCCGGTGAAAACGTGAGGGGCAACGATCGGGGGGGACTGGCATAAGGGGGGGATGCATCGGCCTGGAATCGGCGATACATCGCCGATAGATCGGCGATAGGCTCCCGATAGTGTGTCCGCACCTTCCTGTGCAGGTTGGGGCTATCGGGCCCCTATCGGCGATCAATCCAATGGGCGATTCGGGGTCGATGCATCCCCCCCTATGCCTTTCCCCCCCTATCGTTGCCCCTGAAAACGTGACTACCCACCAGGCCAACCCGACCCAACCCGAAGACCCGAATCTCGCCCGAATTCCGGGTTTGGGGGGAGTGCTGGTTTTAGGTCGGGACTGTCCCCCGACAGGAGGATTTTGGACGAACAATGGAGAAAAAAAAATTATCGAAATATTGAAAATAACAAAAAATCGTCCCCAGACTGTTTCTGGACTATTTTTGACTATCCCTCCTGTTCAGGGACAGGTCCGACTTAATACTGGTTCCATGTGCTTTTCCAATGCTCCTCGACCCCCCCCTGAAAATGGAGGGCAAATTGAGGCCTTCGGGTTGAGTTGGGGTGCTTTGGTGGGCTGTGAAAACGGGGCCGGCGGCATGGAAGCTTGGCTGACAGGGAGGTGCCCCCTGGCCCAGGGCGTCCCCAGGGCCCCCCGGGAGCACCCCACCACGAGGACCAGAAGGGCCCCAGGTCCAAACCGGCGCGAGAAGTTGGGGACACCCCGGGCCAGGGCCACTTCAGGCGGCACTCGAACGTAGTTCACACAAAGAATACCCCTAACGCTTTGGGAGGGGAGCTGCCTCACAACATCAGGGATAAGGGGGTCTCTTGCATGCAGATGCATCGAAGCAAACCGCCCAGATCGATGATCCCTGATGCGAAGACGGGGACCTGCGTTAGCCTACGTCCTCACTGTGTCATCAGGGGTAGGGGCCCTTGCACTTCTCGACGACACAGGGAGGCGCGGCGCAGGCCCGGTAGCTGTTGGGCACGGTACCCATCCTTTCCGTACCCAATTCGTTCGTGCCAGAGACGACGACAGGGGCGAACAGCCGAGGGGGGAGCAATACATGTATCCAAGGGTGCCGATGATCTATGTCTTCGACACGGCTCCCGGGCGAATACGTGTATGCCCGCCCCTGGGCTGTTCGCCCCTATTGCCGCCGCCGAATTATATACGCACTACGTACACCCCGGCGCAGAGCCGAGACAATGAGCTCTACGCTGAGAAAGCGGCCTTCCCTCCCGGCGTGCTCTTGAGAAGCAGTCCAGGCCGAGGTGTACGGAACCTATACGAGAAAAGAAGCTCCAAGAAACCACCCAGGGTCCAGTCCAGATTCTTGCTCTTCTGGCCCGAAATCTGGAATCCCTACAAGTTGCCGCTCCTCTTAAGATCTCTATCGGGCGTAAGGTGTGTGTGTGTGTGTGGGCACTGTTCCATGGGGCTTCGCAAAAACGCCACAGGACAACGTATCGTGCATGGGTTTCCGGCCGATTCTCTGGGCGACAGGTGTTGAAAAACAGTGTCTGCACTGCGTTTGGGCCGCCGTTTGCCACTGCGTGGTGGACAAACTTGACTGATCCTGACGGGCATGTTCTTGGCCCCGACTGTGACCTGTCGGCCTTTCCGTTCGGTGGCCCAGTGAGCGCCCGACTCCCGCGCGCGCTCGCAACTGATCCTCGGGCTCCTCCGGCTGGCCACGGCCCAGACAGAGCCCCCGGTCCCGCTGTGTTCCGCCTGCCTGCGCGCATGCCCGTTCGCAAAGTCATTGCGCCAACTGCGGCCAAGCTGCTGCATGCCACCACGCTGCGTTGCCCGATCTGCAGTGACTTCAAAACAGACAGCCAACATGATGTCCATCATCACCTTTGCGTCTCTCCCACCTCACTCGGGAGGTACAGCCAACAGGAACTACAAGCGCACATGTACGAGACACCCCACTGAGGACCCGTTCGTGCGGACATGCTACACAGGGTCCATCTGCCCTGCCCCCTGCTCGCCTGCGCGTTCAAGTCATCCGTCTCCCCTGCATCCTGGTGAGCAGCTTTTGTACACGGTCCACCTTTTTGGGTGCTCAGGAGAGCGGCGCCTGGTCACGAGTCAGACCAGGACCCATCCATTGTCAATGTGCGATTCTGCTAGCTTCGTGACTGAGGATACCATAACGCCTTTTGAACGACTAGAACTCGCAGGTGTACGTGCTGATAGCGCCTACACTGATGAGAGACGTCGCTGCAGCCCTTGATGTTTAGGAGCTGCCTCAGACACCATCGTGCAGGGTCCAGGCACAGCCAAGACCAACAATCTGCTGCAGCACACCATCCTGTCCGAAATTCAAGTCCACCTGAATATCGGGCTGCCCCAGCCAAACCGCGGTCGACCACCTGACCAGCTGCCCCGGCTAGCCCCTACTTCTGCCGCTGCGCACAGTGACAGAGAGCGAATCCGAAGCTAACTCGAAACGAAGAAGTTGGCACAGCAAGTCGGATCCGCACGGCACACATCATCAACTCGTGGCTTGCGCCAACACCGCATTTACGATCGAAAACGCACATCCGGGTCTTTCCGGACTGCGCTCCTCCACGACACCCCTCCCAGGCGAGGATTGGCCCCGCGAAACCCAAAGGGTGCAGCATGTATCCCCACCTGGGGGGGCAAGCCGGGGGCACTGCTCTGCAACCCTCCTCGGGCTGAGCCCCTGCTGCCAAGCCCCTCCTACATTTCGTTCCCAGACCCCCGAGGTCAAGATTCTTTCGCAACGTAGACCCCCACAGGAGTTCATCAGACCCCAGACGTTATCGTTTTTGTTCGCAACGTGGGCCCCCGGATGTCTCCACCCATTCCCGGGACCAGCTTTCCACCCCGAGCCCCGAGTCGCTTTTGACCGTCCTGGGGCTGGGGAGGGCCCCCAAAGGCCGAAAGCAGAAGCAACGGAAAAGCTCTGAGACGTGTTGCTTCAAGACGAGAGGGGGGTCTGGGTCATCCTCATCCTCATCGCCCTCAGCGGGTCAGAAGCCACCCGCACGCAAAAAAAAGGCCGCGCTCTGCGCCATCCTCCCGCCCCGCCAGCTCGACCTCAGCAGCCACGACCCGGCCAGTGTGGAAGGCACAAGCACCCTGGACCGAACGCCTGTATGTATCGACCAGGGTCGGCCCACGCTGGAGCCCAACCCGATCCGCTCGGTTCCTGTCTGCCCGCTCCTCCCCCCTCGATCCTGCCCAGTGCCTCACGCCTCCCCTCCTCTGTCATCCTCGTGCTCCCACCTCCCCCCAGCTCGGCCCCCGTCCCCCCCTCCCCCCTTCCCCCCTCCCCCCTCCTCCTCACCTGCCCCGTTCTCCCTCATCCTCCTCCTCCTCCTCCTCTTCCTCCTCCTCCTCCTGCTCCTTCGACGACGACGACGACCACCACCACCACCTCCTCCTTCATGCCTCGTCCTTGAAACTAGCTCCTCCCTGTCGCACCCCCAGACGTGTCGCACCCCCAGTCTCGCCGGGGACTTCCTCGTCATTGTTTGATCCTGAAGCGAGAAAGCTGCTACACTTCGCAACATGGAGCGCAAGTCGTTTTCAAAATGAAGCGCTCGCCTTAGCGCCGCCCGCATTCGTCGTAGAAGTTCGCAGCAGTTTCAAGAAACCCTTGGGTTGACGACCCAGGAGTGGCATTATGGCACGATGTAAGGTTGTCAGGACGCAGCAACCACGTTGATTCGCGATGTTAAAATCCAGCGATTGGTGGTTCTCTGGCACGATGTAAGGTCTGGCAGGACGCACCAGCGACGTTGATTCGCGGCGCTGAAGTCCCAAGAATCGCGTTTCGGCACGATTCGGGATTCTCAGACGGCTGCCCTCCAATGGGGCACTTCGGGCAACGAGATCAAGTCTTGCAGGGACCTGCGAAGAGGGAACTGGGAGGGAGGGTTGACCGCATCATCGTTGATGCGTCTTGGGGTTGCACTGGCCCTCCTCCTCATCCTCCTCCTCATCCTGCCCCTTCCGACGACGACGACGACGACGACGACGACGACGACGACGACGGTGCGCTTCGTGGCGGCCGTTCGCCGGGGCGGCCGCTCCCTGGGGCCCGGGCGGCGGAGATGCCGCGGTGCGCGGTCCTCGCCGAACGCAGGGGGAGACACCGCCGCCCCGCCCGTCGGGCCCGTCTCCTTGGCCTCCTCCTCCTCCTCCTCCTCCTCCCTCCTCCTCCCTCTTCCTCCTCCTTCCCTCCTCCTCCCTCCTCCTCCTCCTCACTCCTCCTCCTCCTCCTCCTCCACCTCCTCCTCCTCCTCCTCCTCCTCCTCCTCCCTCCTCCTCTCCTCCTCCTCCTCCTCCTCCTCCTCCTCCTCCTCCTCCTCCTCCTCCTCCTCCTCCTCCTCCTCCTCTCCTCCTCCTCCTCCCTCCTCCTCCTCCTCCTCCTCCTCCTCCTCCTCCTCCTCCTCCTCCTCCCTCCTCCTCCTCCTCCTCCTCCTCCTCCTCCTCTCCTCCTCCTCCTCCTCCTCCTCCTCCTCTCCTCCTCCTCCTCCTCCTCCTCCCTCCCCCCCCTCCTCCTCCTCCTCCTCCTCCTGCTCCTCCTCCTCCTCCTCCTCCTCCTCCACCTCCGTAGCCATTTTGGTTCAAGATGCTTAGTTCCGCAGGGGAACAAGTGGATACCGCTAGTCCGCGGCCAGTTTGCAGTCCTTCCCCTGGTCAGCCCCAGGGCGAGCGCCGAGGTGGTCCGCCCCACCTCGGCGCGTCTCTCGCACTCTCACTCGCTCGGGGCCGTTCAGCCTCGTGCATCGTGTTCCTGGTCATCGTGTGCCTTGTTTCGGCAGGATGGTGCCGCGCCCAGTCGCCGACAAGACTTGGCTGTGCAAGACCTGCATCCACGAGCGCACGGGTGAACCATTCTTCAATAAGGCTGACCGCACATGATGCTTCTCTTGCAGGCGGCCCAAGAGCAGTTGTTTCAAGGCCTACAAGACTTCCACCGCAGACCCGAGTGTGCACGCTGGAGGTCTCAAGGCTGGTGGCAAGAAGGCCGCTAGCGCGGGCTCGGCACCGTGGGAGGTTGCCAAGCAGTTGCGACTGGCGCAGGAGACGATTGCCAAGCTCGAGAAGCAGATCCAGGCCAAGCAAGTGCCAATGCCTGATGCCATGGACGTGTCGGAGCCTAAGGCTATGGCAAATGATTTCGATGAAGGCAAGTTTCGTGCACGTATTTTGGAGTTGGATAAGGAGATCGCAGTTGCCAGCAAAGGTGTTGGCGCAGCGTGGGGTGTCCTCAAGGAGGCGCTCACAAAAGAACGCAGCGAGCTCCAGGATGAAATTAACAAGCACAAGCCTGCAGCCTCACGCATGTTCGTCGTTGGCAAGCAAATTGAGGCTATGGGCAAGCAGATTGCAAAGGCGGAGAAGGATGTTGACGACCAGAAGGCCGTCATCAAGGAGCTCCAGGATGTGCTGGGGCAGGCTGAGCAGAAGGTGTTGGGCAAGAAGGCCAAACTGCTCGAGCTCCAGACCCAGCACGCTGACTTGGCGCGCCAGAGCTATGTCCCACCTGTGCCTAATGACGACGGGGATGCTGGGCAGACCGTTCATGCTCTGGGCCTGGACACAACCAAGTTGGGTGAGGTGTTGCGCGCACTTGGAGCTGGAGACAGGACTGACGCCATCGCGCACGGTGTGGCCCAAGCACTGCCTCAGATTATCACGAATGCTCGGTTGCAACCAGTGGGCGCGACTCGACACCATGCAGGTCCTGAGCTGCTGGACAATGAGTCACTTGCTGATGACGAAGCTCCGCTGGTTCCTATCAAGGAAGCAACCGAAGACGTATTGCGGCCTTACCTGGCGGAGGCGGGTCAGGAGGTCCCCACATCTTTGGAGGAGATGCGTGACGCGGCCAATCGTCTCTGCAAGCTGGAGCAGCATGCCAAGCAGAGGAAAGGGCCAGGCTTCCAGGCCTACTAGGCCAAAGAGGCTGGTCCACGTTATGATGATGTTCACTATACTGGTTAAGATGACGTATTCCGATTCTAAGATCAAGGGGCAGATTGTCACGGTCAATACTGATGCAGCTGGCCCCTTGCTACGTTATGTGGAGCAGGCCACTGATGCGGTGAGTTTGGTCCAAGAGCACAAGTCAGATGGATCAATGTTGCCCAGCCTGCAGTACAAGCTGAAGTGCATGGGTTACCACGGCATATTCTCGGCGGCCAAGCGCACGGCAGCTGACGGGCTCTCAGCGGGCGTTGCTGTCATCACGCCGAGTTTTATCACGATCACGGCGCCACCACTGCTCAAAAACCCTGAGATTGTGCCATCTCGGGCTGTGGCAGCGCAGGTCAACTGGGGCCTCAAGAGTGGGCTGGTGGTCATTTCCCTCTACTTGCAGGATTCCGTGGACATGAATGACTACAACCTTATGATTTTACACAAGGTGGCGCAATACGTGGGCCGCCTCAATGCAGCAAATCGTCCTTGGGTCATTGGTGGTGACTTTAATATGAGTGCCAATTTGACTGGATCTCAGGAGTGGGTGGCGCAGACGAATGCGTTGATGATGGTCCCGTCGCACATCACATGTCGCACCACCAACTCGGCTGAGGGCAAGATTTATGATTATTTTATAGTTCACTCCAAGTTGGCCGCCATCATTGAGCCACCAGATGTGTTGGAGGCTGCAGGGCTACCCACGCATGCACCTGTTGTTCTTTCGATTCGAGCTGAGCCCAAGAAGATCTGGCTTAGGGTCCCTGTTGAGCCCAAGCAGTTACCAAAGCTACCCAAGCAAGGTTGTTCGCGATATCCTATGAACTGGGATCATGTGATGGACACCATTCTACGTGCTCATGACGACGACACGCTCAAGATGGCTTGGGATGCAGTTATCACTGGAGCGGAGTTTGAGATACTCAACAGGTACGACGTGGTTGACGATGAGGCTGCTCCGCACAGGGGCAGAGCTGGCCCGAGGGACACCAAGTTTGTCGAAGCACACTGGACCCCCAAGCGTGGGGCGGGAGGCCTTGGGCCGAACGCCTTAGCTTGGCTGGCTGCGGCCAGATGGGCGAAACATCTCATGAGAGTGCGGGCCTTCTGGATCAAATTGGTGCAGGAAGCTGTACGTGATGATAGGCGGGCGGGCGAATTTCACCTTCCTGATTACAGCTCGCCCTGGACCAGCAGACAGCCATCCTTGGCGCCTGCAGCTGCAGCTCCTATGAGAGAGGAATCAGAGGCAGGTGGCAACTGGACGACGGTCACCAGCAGGTCGAGTTCACAGAGGGCACCTACGAGTGGGTCATGCAGCCTACGCCCCATGAAGGACGAGACTGCCCCGCGGCGCGCGTCCTCTGCTGATCCGCGCATGCCCGCGGCTCTCAGCTCAGTGACCCCGTGCGGTGGGATTGCTGGAGGGCCGATGGCGCCGTGTACTGCAACTACGACCAGTGATGTCTCTGCCCCTGGTAGAGGGCCTACGGGTACTACTACGGCAACCGCGACGACTGCGTCAGCCTCGAGGCCGCGTGAGGATCCAGGGAATCCTGGCAGAACGCAGTCCAGGAAGCAGCGAGCATCAGCGAGTCTGAATCCCATTGGCAGATTGGCTCGTTCGCTAGTGGACACAGATCGCTTCTTGCTCAAGATAGTGGGGCAGCAGAACCACATGTGGAGTCACCTGGATGAGGAGACTCAGGGATTCTTCCTAGATGGCATCGCCTTGCTAGGACGGGACGACTTCGAGCAGCAGATATACCGCATAGTCGAGCGTGCTGATGAAGTTCACCAGGAGCATAGAAAGAAGGTGGAGGACAGCTGGAAGTCTTGGATCGACATGGCGTTCAAGAAAGGAGCAGGCCCTGCGCATCGCACGTCTAAGGTCAAGGCTTTGGAGGCAGCAGTGGCGCATACTGACAGAATGCAGCCGTACCAGATGGCCGACAGGGAAATGGATGTCTGGCATGAGGTATGGTCCTGTCATGGGCAGCGTGAGCCACCATTGCCGAGTGATGCGCATACATGGGAGGATCTTCCCCCGCTTCGGCCAGATGATTTGTCCAAGGCAGCTCTCACGTTCACTTGGACGACGGCCACTGGGCCGACGAGGCTGCACCCTCGCGCATTTTTCTTCCTCTCTGATGCTGGCTTGTTGGCGCTCTGCACACTGTGCCACGCCTGCGAGAGGTTGCTGTACTGGCCGACACAGAGAATTGTCAACGAGATGGTCAGGCTTGCCAAGCCCGATGGAGGCACGCGGCTGATCACTGTAGTAGAGAGCATAGTACGCTTGCGGGCGCGAGCAAGGCGCCCGATTTCAAGAACATGGATTGTACAGCATGGGAGCCCTTTCATTTGGGGCAACAGGAGGGGACACTCTTCCAGTTATTCCGCGTTTGCGCACAACCTAGAGGCGGAGATTGCTGCTTCTCTGGGAGAGAGTTCAGTCACGGTGTTTCTCGATATGTGGAAATGTTTCGAGACAGTGCTGTTCCCTGCATTGCTTGAGGAAGCCAGGTGCCTGGGGTTCCCTCTTCGTTTATTATGGACGTTAATCAACTCGTATTCCCAGCCAAGGGTTATAAAGGCGTTTGGATGTTGGAGCAAGCAGGTGGTGGTGTACCAGGGCATCCTCGCGGGCTGCACCCACGCCACCACCCTCCTCACCATCCTCACCTACAGGGCCCTCATGAAGGTGCACCAGATAGCTCCCAACGTGGCCCCGAGAGCGCTCGTGGATGACAGCACGTTCCAATGGGTTGGGCCGTCGGGGACTTCTTCGGCTGAGTTGTTCTTGGGGATCCAGAGCTTCGTCAAGGATTCGGCCAAGTTGGGGCTCCTGCTGCAGGTCAAGAAATCGGGCTGGGTCTCCAACACTAGGAAGGGGCACCAGGGGTTCCGCAAGTTGGCCTCAAGGATCAACCTCAAAAGCAAAAAGTGGGTCCGAAATCTTGGGCATGAACTTAGTGGGCCTGTTCCTGTGAGGAAACAAGCTAAGGCTAGGATGAAGGGCTTGCAGGACAGGCTCCCAAGGCTTATCATGCTCCAGAAGGCGGCTGGCAACAGAGTCACCGCTATCTGGAGAACAGGACTCCTTCCAGCTGCTGCGCACGGGGCGACTGCATCAGGAGTCAGCGACC